ATTCAATTCAGATGAGGCTGTAAATCAGCACCTTGTTCAGTTTTTTTGCAAATAAAGACAGGTCTTTCTATGAATGAGGAACTATGAAGCTCATTGGAAGATGGCAAAAGGTTATTGAACAAAATGGGCAATATATCACTGATTGATCTTTGTTCTTTATATAAATAAATGACCTTTGAAAAACATAGACAAAATACATCATGACTTTTCCGACAACCTAGTAACTATCTATAAAGATGACATTACCTTTCTTGTTGTTCTCTACTTTGTCCTGGTGGTGTATTTGTTTCATTTCCGGTCTAGAAAAAATGAACACACTATATTTAAATGCTTGCTTATTTGTTTTCATTTTCATAACACCACCCTTTTCTCTGTGAGTTTTAATATTTGGAATCAGGAATTTCATGATGCTCAGTTAATGAATCATAAAATTGGCAACTAATGCCCTGCCTTCTGAATGTGTAACAAGAATAAAAATGTAATTACATACATATGAAATGTCACAGAGTACAACTGTACTTTAAATAAAATGGTAGTATCCAAACTTAATACACTGCCAAACACAACAAGGCTTTTACTTATCCGTTGTTATGGCCTATTAAAATACAAGCAAATTTACAAAGATATTCCTTTTGAAATGATTCTCTGAAACTTAGGAGTTCCTCCATGAAAAGGAATGTAAATTTTCTGCAGCTGCAAATAAGACACCTTTACATTAGCTAGGAAAATATTTCAATGGCTAAAAATGTGAGCAAAGTTTCTCCAATCTAATATTCCTCTACTGTGATTTAAAAACCAAACCAAAAGTCTTACTATTGAAATCTCATTCATAAAGCACTATTAAGAATTCCAAAGCTTAGCAGGAACTGGTGTTATCTACGTACACAAGTGTTTTGTCAACGGTCTCTTGCTACATGGAAACACAGTAAAATAATGTGGGTTTCAGATGACTCTGAAGCCAAGAACTTCTTCTCTGTCCACAGACTGTAATGCTAGGAATACAGGCCTGTCACTCAGCAGCAGCTGTGAACAGCACTGGTTTCAGGGCAAAAACTCTGAGGGTTACTAGCTTTTCCTTAAGTCCTCACTACAAGTGTGATCCTACAACTCAGTGAGATAGTCTGTTTTGAAGATGCTTCTGACTACATTCGTGAACCATGAACTATATTATAATGTTGTGTTTTGTCCCTTATACTTTCTAACACTCAATAATAAAATGCTTTTGGTGCTACACCCAGCTGTTTATAAAATTTTTTACTCATGACAACATCTATACTGGCACCATTTTAAAAACTTATTTTAAAGAAATCTGATATAAAACAGTAGTCTGAGAAAAGCAGCGAATGGGCTGTATTAATCATATCACAGCAACTAATAATGGACTGATTCCCTCTTGCCTGATTCCAAACATCTAGGTTATTCCAAAAATTGAGAAGCAACACTATTCCAAGAAGGAACTCAATTTTAATTTTTTCTCTGCATTTGAATTTCAGTAAAATTAATTATATTTCATCAATATCTTGCATACAATCCCCACATTATTCAGAGAATTATTATAATTTTAATCCGTCACTCTTGGGGAACATGGTGTTGTAATAAAAGCTTCCACACGTAAGGATCTAGGGATCTGCTTCCCCAGAAGGACACTTAACCAGCCACAAATATAACTAACAAAAAATACACCTTTTTAATCCTGGCTATCGAGCATTTATTTTTCCCACAGTAACCCTCAAAGACAATTTTAACAAAATAGAATAATATGCTAATAAAAATTGTTATCAATACATAATCTATATTCTATTTTTTATTAGTTCTGCTATCTTGAAACAGTATTTTGGGCTGATTGATGGATGATATGCCAATTTGAAATCTATCACACACAACAGACTGACATGTTTGTTAATGAGAAAAGTTTACAAAGATAACTACATTCAGCGAGCACTTTAGTTCAGTGAATATCTGGTTACTAAACACTTCAAGCTCTGTTCACTCCTCTCTTTATTCAAAGGTAATAGTTACTCCTAAAGATTGTCAAGATGCTCAAGTAGGGAATGCCAACAAAAAAACACAAATAATCCAATTAAAAAATGGCAGAGGACCTGAATAGACATTTCTCCAAAGAGGATATACAGATGGCCAATAGACATATGAAAAGATGCTCAACATCACTAATCATCAGAGAAATGGAAATGAAAACCACAATGAGCTATCATCTCACATCTGTTAGAATAGCTATCATCAACAAGACAAATAATAACAAGTGTTGGAGAGGTTGTGGAAAAAAAGGAACTCTCATACACTGCTGGTGGGAATGCAGATTGATGCAGCCACTATGGAAGGCAGGGTGGAGGTTCCTCAAAAAATTAAGAATAGAATTACCATATGACCCAGCAATCCTTCTCCTGGGTATATACCCAAAAAATCTGAAAACATTTATCCGTAAAGATATATGTTCTCAGATGTCCACTGTAGTTTTAATTACAGTGGCCAAGACATTGAAACATCTAAAGTGTCCCTCCATAGATGACTGGATTAAGAAGGTGTGGTATACACACACACACACACACACACACACAATGGAATACTATTCTGCCATAAGAAAAGATGAAATAGTGCCATTCGCAACAACATGGATGGATCTTGAGATTATTATGCTGAGCTAAAGGAGTCAGACGGAAAAAATCGAGGACCATGTGATTTCACTGAAATGTGGGCTATAAAGCTGAAAACAACAAAGGAACAAGACAAACAAAGAAACAAAACCTCATAGACACAGACAATAGTGTAGTGGTTACCAGAGGGTAAGGGGGGAGAGGGGTGGTAGATGAGGGTAAAAGGGACCAAATATATGGTGATGAAAGGAGAACTGACTCTGGGTGGTGAACACAATGTGATATATCGATGATGTATTACAGAATTGTACACCTGAAACCTATGTAACTTTACTAACCATTGTCACCCCAATAAACTTTAATTAAAAAAAGAAAATCCAAAATACTGAATGAGCATCTACCACATATACAGCTTTATGCTAAGTAAGGCGCTCACAAGAGGAAAAATGTCAAGGAAAAAATGTTATTTTTTTCATTCATGTTTTCTAATGACTATCAACTAAATTCAGTTCGTGTATTTGCTAACTTAAAAATAAATAACAAAAAATTCCTCAAAATTTACATAAATAAATGCTAAAGAAGTCATGCCTTTTCCCTTTTGACCCTAAAATCTGTGGTGGTAACTATACCACTCTTATCAAGAGGCTGAAAAATAAAATACTATTACAATAGATGTCAAATTGTAAATAATAGGACTTTCATCACTAATATATAAAAATAAACTGTGTAAAAAATTTAAAAATCAACTTACAGAATTCAGTGGAGAAGAAACACATGGAATTCTTTTGGCGTCCTGTAAATATTGAAATGATAACAAAATTAAGATTTTTCCACTAAACTCAAATTTTGAAGCACTCCTGCAATTAATTGTGATCTTAAAAATTTTACCAGCAATGGACTTGACATCTTTTCTAAACACTGCAATAACATTTGCTGAGCTGTTGAACTCATCAAACCACAGGATTGTTCATTGAGTTGCTGAGCTTCCATCTCTCTTCTGACTGGTACCTAGAAAGCAAACCTTGTATTATCTGTTGTAACTATGAACTCCAAAGCACATTTTCAGATAAGGAAAATATTTACATAACAAAATGGATGGCCTATGAAACAGGATTAATGTGTTACCAGCAATTTATCCCTGGGTGGTGTCATTAATCATATATTCATCCTTTTTTCTTTATGTGTTTATTGAAAATCCACCTGTCTGGCCGAGACATCGCTTTTACAATTAGAAAAATATGGTAAGAGAGCATGCACCACTCTACAGATCTGCCAGCTATGAGTATGTTAAATGGAAAAAACTGAGATAACTGGTAGAATATTCTAGCATTACCTTGATCTGCTTATCCCTTATAGTTCGATCAAAGAACACTGGATTAAGAAGAATGGCATAAAAATATTAGTTATTCCAGGTATTAAATAGTATTTAATTACTGTAAATTCCAAGATAACTAAACAAAGAGACTGCAGACTCTACTGCAATGGAAATTAAAAATTTTAAATGGACTTGTTTCACAAATTTTAATAGAAAAAAATTTAAATATACAGGCTCTTTTATAATAGATGGGTTTTTAGATTTCTTAAAATTGGAGTTAGAGATACAGCCTTGTAAAGAATAGACAAATACCCTTTAAAATACAATGTTTACAAATTCCAATAAAAACGCTTCATTTTCTCAAAAATGCATTACAACATTTCAATAACGAAGTGACTACCACGAGTCAAAGTGGTTTGGTAATGCTCAATATAAAAAAGATACAGTATGACAATCAAATTACAACCCAGTTTCTACAATGAGCTCATAACATCTGAAAAATTGAACCATAACTGCTTTAAATAATGTTTCTCTACCTGAAACCAAATATTCATTATATTTTCAGAATAGCTGTAATATTCTACATTACTTAACTCTTTCACTGCATTAATTGATTTCAAGTTTTTTCCCCCAAAATGTGTCAGACATCCACACACACAAAAAGTTGATATTTTAACTATTTTATGCATTTAATAATAACAACTTGAGCTGCTTTGTATATAAATGACATTATTTTTATGCATAACAATTTTGGATATATTCATTTGGATATAAATGAACAAACATCACGGCAAAAGGGTTAAGAATTTGGTGCCCATTTAGGATTGCTGTTCAGACCAGAGCCTTTGACTAAAATGAGGCACATCAAAATCTTCTAGGAAAACGTGACAGTCTGTCCTGTCACTGGATTGTACTGGCCACTCTCAGGGCCTTACTTTACAATTCTGTAAAATGAAAATGAGATAGAGAATCTTTAATATACCTTTCCACTCTAACATCCTAGGAAAAAAAGAAAAAGCATCGATTCATCCCAAATGCCAACAATACACATCTAGAAGCCTGTGTTGAGAATGACTGTTATGGTATCTCAGGACTCAGAGTTAAAAAGTATAGGGTTTGATTCCCCAAACTGTCTTTCATATCCCTGTGGCAATAGTATGGTTACCAATTTGTGGCTTCTAATCCCTCACCTCTCTTATCTCCATGCCCCTCCCATCTAGCAACGCTCGGTTTATGGAATTGTAACCGCTATATACGATATCAGAGGGGTAGCAGATTGGAGGAGGGGTATATCACTTTGTGAGGGGTGTAAATGTCTAACTATTACATCGTTTGGTAGACCTGAAACTATTAAAAAGGAATATTATATAATATATAATATTGTTAAATATACAAAATAAAGGAGGAAGTAGCAGAAATAGACTTGAATTGGGATTAGCCTATGAATCATGGGTTTGCATCATCTTATCTTCTACTAACATGCTGAACTATTTTGACTGTAAAAAAATTTTTTAAGCTTTAGAAAAACCTTCCTGTGTGACTCCAAGATCCAGTTAACATTTTCTGAAATAAAATACTGCCCTTCATCAACACACTCAGAAATAAGACTCATAATTACTGTTAACTATTTATGAAAGCAAACTCTATTCAGGAAAACAAGAAACACTCTAAAGAGAAGGCAAATATTCAAATATACTTTTTCCTATGTAATTTTTATGTCTGTCATAGATTTTCATCTTTACACAATTTCTCTAATCAAAAGCCTACAGGCTTAAAATATTATTACTCCTCAATCTGTAAAATGTCAAAATCTGGGGGGCTAGCCGAGTGGCTCAGTTGGTTAAGAGCTGACTTGGGAGTGCAAGCGCTGAGTAGTAGAGCTGCCGGTTTGGTTCCCACATGGACCAGTGACGCTGCACCCTCTACAGCTAAGATGGTGAACAACAGCTCGACCTGGAGCTGGGCTGCTGAGAGTGGCAGCGATGGCGTAGGCTGCAGTGGGACTGCAGTGGGCTGCTGTGAGCTACCATGAGGGACCAGCAGCCAGCGTGAGCGGATGGCAGATGGCGGCTGGCAGCCAGCGAGAACTGCCATGAGCTGCTGTGAGCCACCATGAGCCACTGTCAGCAGCCATCCAATGGTCGGCGACCCACTGCCTCAAGCTGGGAAGAGCGCAATGATCATAATACCAACATGGGCCAGTAAAGCGGCGTCTTCCACAACTAGACTGAAGAACAAAAGGACAGCAACTTGTCTGTTCCCCTTACCCGATTCCCCAACGCTGTTCCCCTCCCCCAGTTCCCCAATTAAAATAAAATAAAATAAAATAAAATGTCAAAATCTGGAATGTAAGCACCATAGCAACACATATACAAAACAGAATTTTTATGACCTTGAAGAAAATCTTAGGACAAAACAGATTGCTGCAGTTTACCTTAAATTGGTATTATTTAATAATATTGTATGTAAACTACAATATAATATATATATATATATATATATATTCACAGGATATGGAGTATAGTACAGGAAATAGAGTTAATGGAATTGTAATAGATATATATAAGGTCAGAGGGGCAAAAGATTGGGGGAGGAGGGTTATCACTTTGTGAGGGGTGAAATGTATAACTATTACATTGTTTTGTATACCTGAAACTAATACAAAAAGAAAGCTGGCAATTTCCAATTGTTCTCTGCTAATGTATATATGTAAACATAACTCATTTTGTTATATTGACTTTGTATTCTGCGACCTTGCTAAATCGACTTAGAAGTTCTTGTAGTTTCTTCAGATTTTCTATGTAGATCATCCCTTTGCCTATGACTAAGAATAATTTCATTCCTTCCCAATATGTATGCTCTGTTTTTCTTTTTTCTGGCATTAGCTAGGACCAGCAGTACATTTAACAGTAGTAGTGAAAGCACACATCCTTGTTCTCTTTCTAATCATAGGGGGAAAGTAGTCAGTCTTTTGCCATTAGTATGATGCTAGCTGAAGATTTTCTGTAGACTCAGTTTATGAGGTTGAGGAGGTTCCTATCTGTTCCTAGTTCTGCTGAAAATTTTTATCATGAATAGATGTTGGATTTTGTCAAATGTGTTTTACACATCTGTGGAGATGTTCATGTAGTTTCTATTCTTTACTTTATTTACATGGTAGATAACATCAATTTTCAAATGCTGAACTAACCTTACATTCCCAGGACATACTCCACGTGACCATGATCTAATACACTTTTTATATATGCTGGGTTCAATTTGCAAATATTTGTTGAGAATGTTTCCATCTGTAATTCATGAGATATACTGGTCTGTAGCTTTCTTATAATGTTTTTGGATTTAACCATCAGGATAATGTTGGTTCCTGAATGTGCTGGGAAGTATACAGAAAAGTTGTGGAGAGTTGGTATTATTACTTTCCTAAAGGTTTGGTAGAACCTCATGGAAAGTTATCTGGCCCTGAAGTTTTCTTTGTTAAAAGGTATTTTTAGTACAAATTCAATTCATTGAACAGGCTACTTATAGGTATAAAACTAACAAAATATGTCCAAGGCCTGTGTGATGACTATTACAAAACATTGGTAGAAATTTGTAGAGACCTAAGTATGAAGGTCTGCCAATTAAGTCTGCAAACTTGCCATGGTGCACTTACATTGGCAGGACTGCACAAATATCTCAGTAAGGTTTCATAACCTTGGCATATCAATGTCTCACAGCTGTGTTCCTATTGACATGTGGCGGTGTCTTGCTGAGTGGCATTCATTATTGTTGCTGCGTGTTTTTGTGTGCTGTCATCAGAATGTATGAGCTTGAATTAGAGCAATGAACAAACACTACATTTCTTGTTAAACTTGGCAAGAGTAGAAGTGAAATCAGGGACATGTTAGTTCAAGTTATGGGGATAATGCCATGAAGAAAACGACAGTGTACAAATGGATTAAAGAGGAGAGAACAAGTCATTGATGAAGTGATGTCAGAGCGCTCAGTAATGAGTAGGACTGATGAAAACATTGCAAACATTCATTGAATTGTGTGTCAAAATCGTCAGCTGACTGTGAGAAGCATAGCAGGCCAAGTAAACATCAATAGAGAAACAGTTAGGAAACTCTTAACTGAATATCTTGGCATGAGAAAGGTGTGTGCAAACTTGGTCCTGAAGGAGCTTACCGATGAACAAAAGCAAAGGAGAATCGAAGTTTGCCAAGACCTTTTGGAAAGGTAAGATGATGTTTTGGGTCATGTTATCACTGGTGATGAAACATGAGTATACCAATGTGACCCTGAAGCAAAGAATCAAAATACACAACAGAAGTCAGCCAATTCTACATGACTGAAAAAGCTCTGTCTGTCCAAATCAAGAGTCAAAATGATGTTGCAAACCTTTTTTGATGTCAGAGGGATTATTCATTATGAACTTGAGCCAAATGGACAAACAGGTAACCAAGTTTATTATTTGGAAGTGCTGAAAAGGCTACATGAAAAAGTTAGACAAAAATGACCTAAACTTTTCACCAACAATTCATGGCTCTTGCATCACGACAATGCAGCAGCTCACAAGGCACTGTCTGTGAGCAAGTTTTTAGCCAGTAAACAAATAACTGTATTGGAACACCCTCCCTTCTCACCTAATCTGGACCCCAATGACTTCTTTCTTTATCAGAAGGTAAAGGAAATATTGAAAGGAAGACCTTTTGATGACATTCAGGACATCAAGGGTAATATGATGACAGCTCTGATGGCCATTTGAGAAAAAGAATTTCAAAATTGCTTTGAAGGTTGGACTAGGTGCTGGCATCAGTTCATAGCTTCCCAAGGGGAGTACTTCGAAGGTGACCATAATGTTATTCAGCAATAAGGTATGTAGCACTTTTTCTAAGATGAGTTTGCAAACTTAATTGTCATACCTCATAAATGGAGAGACATATTGATTTTATGGATCAGAACTCAATTTTGCTAAGATGTTTATTCTCCCCAAATTGATCTTTAGACTTAATGCAATCTCAATCAAAATTCCTGTAGACTTTGTAGAAAACTGATAGCATGATTCTAAAATTATGAAAAAGTAAAGAAACTAGGAAAGCTAAAACAGGCTTGAACAAGAACAAAGTTGGAGAACTCACAGGATCTGATTTCAAGACTTACTGTAAAGCTACAGTAATCAAGGCAGTTCAGAGTTTGCAAAAGGATTAATACATAGATCAATGGTAAATAACGGGAAGTCCAGAAATAGAGGCAGAATATGGTTGACTGATGTTTGAAAGGTGCAAAGGCAATTCAATAGAGAAAGTATAGTTTTTAAAAATGACAGTAGAGGGGCTGGCCAAGTGACTCAGTTGGTTAAGAGCTTGCTCAAGAGTGCGAGCTCTGAGAAAGAGGGTCACTGGTTTGATTTCCATGTGGGCCAGTGAGCTGCATGCGAACTAAGCTGCCGCTGAGCTGTCAACATGTGGCAGGATGACTCAGCTGGTGAGAGCATGTGCTCCTAACAACAAGATTGCCTGTTCAAGATGGTGGGCTACGCCCACCTGCAACTAAAGACTGAACTCAGCACCCTGAGCTGAGCTGCCGCCTGGGTGGCTCAGGGGATAACCGTGCGCTCTTAACAACAAAGCTGCCAGTTTGACTACTGCATGGGATGTGGTTATGCCCACTTGCGACTAATTGAACACAGCACCTTGAGCTGAGCTGCATGACTAGACTTGGAGCTGAGCTTGCTGTGCCCTCCACAACTAAGATTGAAGGACAACAACTTGGCTGCTCCCCTTCCCCAATTCCCCAACACACCTAATTCCCCAACATTGTTCCCCTCCCCTAATTCCCCAATAAAAAAAATCTAAAAAAAAAAAATGATACTAGAAAAATTGGACATTCATATGTTAAAAAAATAACTCTGGATCCATACCTCAGACCACATACAAAAAGTATGTCAAAGGAATCACAGGCCTAGATTAAAACCTAAAACTGTAAAGCTTCTATAAGAAAACACAGGAGAAAACCTCTGTGACCTCGGAGAAGGCTAAAATGTCTTTGATACAACACCAAAAGCAACAACAATAGAAGGAAAAACATAACAATATACCGAATGTCATCAAAAGAACAATTCTCTTCAAAATACATTGTTAAGATATGCCAGAGAAATGGAGAATAATATTTCCAAAACACGTATCTAGAAAAGGACTTATACCCTGAGTAATGAATGCTCAAAACTCAACAAGAGAAGATCCCTATTTAAAAAATGGGCAAAAGATCTGAACAGGCATTTCACCAATGGATGTCTACTGATGACAAATAAGCCCATGAAAATATTCTCAGTGTCATTTGGGAAATGCATATAAAAACAAGAACAAGTTGGCATGGCTACTCCATACCTATGAGAATGGCTAAAATAAAAAACAGAAAACAAAAAACTGACTACCACCAGCTGCTGGCCAGAACACTCTTACATTAATGATGAGAATGCAAAGAGGCACAAGAAACTTTGTAAAACAGTTTGGCAGTTTAGTATAAAGTTTAATGTATATTTCTCACATGACTTTGCACTCTAACTTCTAGGTATTCACCAAAATGAAATGAACATCAATGTTCACACCAAATGTCAATAGCATCTTTATTCACAATTGCCAAAAATAGAAAATAACCTGTGTATCCTTACACTGGAATGGATAAACAAACCGTATTATAGCTCAGCTATAAAAAGGAACTATTAATATATGCAAAAATACAGGTTGATCTCAAATGAGTTGTGCTGTGTAGAATAAGTCAGATTTAAAAGACTACATATTGTGTTATTAAGTTTATATGACATTCTGAAAAAATTTTAAGAAACAGGGGAAAAAAAATACATCAGTAGTTACCACAGGTTAAAAGTGTCTGACAACAGATCAAGATGTACAGGGTAAAACTTTGGGGTGATGAAAAATGTTAGTTCACTATTTTAATTGCAAAAGCGGTTACAACTGCATGTGTTTCATAAAATTGAAATACTTTAATAAGGGTAGATTTCTTTTGCATGTAATTTGTACCTGAATTTCCTTTTTAAAAAGGAATTAATAAAAAAATAAGTAAAAAGGGAATTAATCATATGTACTGAACATATACACACACACACATCCAATGTATAAAATGTTCACTTAGATCTTAAATCATGTTCATATACTCCCTAAAAGAAAAGAATGTTTGTAATACCCACTTCTATCATTTCCCAAAGAATAACTAAACAAAATTCTATTGCAGTGCCTATAGTTACTTATCAATTATTTTTTTAAAAAAAGGTTATCAATCCTATTCAAACCAACCTGATATGGTGTGTTTTGTACTTTAGGCTTTTGACAGGAGCTGCTGCGCCACTGTACCTTGTTTTGACAGGATAAAAATGAGAATCTCCAAGCTGACTCAAAGACTTCCCAATTGACCACACAGAAACACAATTGATAAATTATGAGCAATAAACATTCAAAACTAATGTGATTGAATTAACTCCAATTAGTACTCACTGAGGAAAGTGTTCCAGACACAGATTCATTGAATGCTTGTTTTCTGGAGCTAGTGGCAGTGCCTTGTGAGAGCAAATGACAATGTTCAGTCTCTACGGGCTGCAGAAGTGACACTGAAGTGTTCTTTGAAGCAGCTATATCTGAAACAAAAATTTGTAATTCATGGTAACAGCACTAATTACAAGACCCAGATTTTCATGAACAGAAAATGAAAATTACATCTGAGTGCAGAAAAATATTATCTCATGAAATTTAATTTTACTACTAAAATTTTTAAAGACCAAATACCAAGATACCTTCAGCAGAAACTCTTGAAGAAAAATCACTGGTAGTTGTTGAGATGTTATCATCATCATGCTGAGAGGCAGAATCTTTCATTTCCTTTGAAAATCCAGAACTGCCCGACGGGAATGCCGAGGATGTGGAGGGCTGACAGTCTAATACAGGAGATTCCAACATGGAATTCAAATGGCTCTGATGAGCAGGACTCGTTACCATGTGTAAACAATTTGAAGCATTAAGTCCTGAGTGATCTTTAAAAAAATTAATTAGTATTATGAATATATAACTTAGGAAAAGCAATAACCCATCATGACAAAATGCAGTCTGCACTTTGAGAAAACATACTACACAGTACATATAGCTTCAATTCCAGTCGCTGAGGCCTCCTATAAGTCCAATTTTGCCAAAAAAGCTTTCAACTAACTGAAATTAATTTACCTAACCTAGTGTCAAAATACATTTCCGTTGTCACATACCAACTTCTAAAAAGTGCATGGTTCCTGATTTCCCTTGAATTGGTGCCAGTATAAAATTCATTCATCAAAAACAAAATCAAAGCTAAGTTATAAGACAAAGTCTATCTCTCTAGAAACAACGACAATTAAATTTTTATATCCTCCCAAAGAATTTACATTAGCTACCCTTTTTCTGTGGGGCATACATTCCATGACCCCCTGGGGATGCCTGAAACTGTAGATGGTGCCACCCTATATGTTATGCTTTTTCTTATACATACATACCTATCATAAAGTTTATTTTATATATGAGGCACAGGAAAAGATGAATAATTAATAAAATAGAGCAATTATAACAATATACTGTCATAAAAGTTATGTGAATGGGGTCATTCATTTCAAGAGGCCTCTCGCTGAACTCTGCCTATGGGCTCAGGGCTTTCTGGCACAACACGCTGCCGTCACTTGGAACATGGTTTCTGTTCATGTCTTCCACCCACAAACTGAATGATTTTCCATCTTAACTGAGCATTTATCATGTACTGTGACCGTAACATTTGCAGTTTGAGGTGCAACATCACAACTAGCACAAATTTCTTTTTCTTTTTTCACAAATTCGTGGATAGAAATTCCTTCTTATCTTAGATCTTAGCAACTTCAACATACAATATGTTTTCTTTCCCTATTAAAATGAGAACTTTTACCTTCTTACTTAAACAAACAAACAAACAAACAAACAAACACTTTCCAGCTTTTCTTTGGCATATCCAAATTGCCAGCATCACTACTCTTGTGCAATATGGCCATCACTATATAACATAAGTGTTATGTGAATACTAGGACTAGGATACCAACATAGCCTGTCTGATAACAAACCCGACTATTTAGTGACTAAAGGACAGGGAGGATCTGTAGTGTGGAGACCTTGGATAAAGGGGTGATTCAGCTCCTGGGAAGGGCAGAGCAGGACAGCATGAAATTTCATCACATTACGCAGAACGGCTTACAATTCAAAAAAATTATTTATTTCTGGAATTTTCCATTTAATATTGACGCACCACAACTGACTGTAGGTAACTGAAACTACAGAAGGGAAAAATATACATTTTCCCTAATCACATAATCATGCTTATGCATCCTGTTTTGTGATGTGTTTTCCCATTTACAAATATAATTTTGTCTCTATACACAGAGCATTCATTCCCTTTAAATACCACATTGTATTTTATCATACTGATTTACTCTACTTATTTGATTATTTTTCAATACTCATCCAACATGTATGCACTTATATCTACATACTTCTAAAATATTCTTATCGGCAAATCCATGATTTGTTGTTTGTAAGAGAAACATGAGGAGAAATTATGAAACAAATATTTCTAAGTCACACACCAAAAGTCTGATTTGAAGGAGATCCAAGATGGTAGAGCGAATAAACACTGTGCCTGCTTCCTTCCGTGAACATACTAAAATTATACCTAAATTATAAAACAATCAACCTGGAGAACCATCTGAGGTACAGCTGAACACAAGTTTTATAACAAAGGATATAAAGAAAAGGCATGTGGAGACTGGCAGGAGGGGCGCGAACAATGAACGGGCTGGTCCCAAACATCCATGCAGCAGCTGAGAATCAGGAGGGATAACTCTGCCATAGAGGTTTTCCCCAAAGGAACAAGGGATCCCAGCTCCACACCAGGTACCCAACCGGAAGTACTAGTGCCAGGAAGAGTTGTCCCCACAACATCTGTGAAAAACAGTGGGAATTCCGAGCATCTGGGGAGGTGAAAGGCTGTGGGAAATCCAGACACTCTGAATGGGCCCGTGCACAGACTCTCTCACTCTCAGGCACTGCCCTGGGCTCCACTGGAGGGAGGGTGACTCAGGGGGCATCAAAAGCATACAGGGGGCAGACTGATGTTTGTGCTTCAGGCCAAGGGTTAGAGGACAGTCACCATTTTCCCTGTGTAGAATCTTCTTCCCATTGGGTGCTATCTCTCCTTTGTTTAGTACTCCCCCCACACAGTGAAATCTGAATCTGAATTAGCCTGGTGGTCTCTACTGGGACCTACCCACCAAGCTCACCCACGCTGGAGGCACTTCCTCTGTAAAGAGCCAGCCCCGCTCACAGTGCACTCTTTCTTAAAAAGCTATCAGTCTGCAGGCACCAGGCAGTCTACGACTGGCCTCATTGTGCTCAGAGACTTTTGCTGAGTAGCTCTAGGCTCAGCCCTGACACCAAACCAGAATCCACATTAATCTGGTAACCACAACTCCTCCTACTCTAGTGACTCCCTGAGACTCTGCATCACCCAACTTGTGTACCGCACAAGGCTTTATCATTGTCTGAACTTTAAGGGAGTTGGCAGGTACCAGCAGGCTTCAGCGTGTCCCGGCTCGTTGAAGAGCTACCCCAGGTCCAGTACTGGTGGCAGCCATCCTCAGTTCAAAGTGTGGCCTCTTGCAAGTGCCTCCAACTTCAGCACAGGCAGCAAACAACCGCAGATCGCTTTGTAGCTCCTATAAGGTAGTCCCCGACTGGTCACAGGCATTGGGTGACTTCAGCTTGCACAGGAGCCCTTCCTAAGAGCACCCAGACCAACATACTTGGAGTTTGGCTTCAGACCACAGCAAAACACTTCCCAATTAGCCCCACAAGCAGCATACACAAAGGGCGGTCTCATCAGGCACCAGAGCCCACCAGGGCAAATCCCACTTAGTGGGGTAAGCCCCCTCGCATGACACCCCATAAGCTCTGAACATGGCCAAACCACAGAGCAAATAAGCCTGAGGGCAAATCATACCCACTGACATGCAAATAGCAATCAAGGCTCAACTATAACAGGAAGGCACACATGACTCATGCAAGAGACAATCCTGCAGCACCTGGAGCATGTGACTAGGGCGGCTGTGCTGGGGTCCTACCGGGCACCTTCTACATCAGGCCACCTGACCAAGACTGGGAGACATAGCATATCTATCTAATACATAGAAACAAACACAGAAAAGCAAACAAAATGAGGAAACAAACAAACAAACACCTCCGGAATGAAAGAACAAGAGAAAACTCCAGGAAAAGAACTAAATGAAATGGATACAAACAACCTCCCAGAGACAGAGTTCAAAACAATGGTTATAAGGATGTTCAAGAAACATAGTAAGAATTTCAACAGAAAGACAGCAGGCATAAAAAAGGACATAGAAACTAAAAAAGAACCAGTTAGGAGTGAAAATATAATACTTAAAATGAAGAAAAAACTAGCTGGACTCACTAACAGACTAGATGAAACAGAGGATGGAGTCAGTGATTTGGAAGACAAGGTAGCAGAAAACACCCTGTCAGAAGAGTAAAAAGAAAAAAGAATAAAAAAAAGTGAGGACAGTTTAAGAGACCTCTGGGAGAACAACAAGAGTAACAACCTTTGCATCATATGGGTACCAGAAGGAGAAGGGAGAAAGAAAGGGATTGAGAACCTATTTGAAGAAGTAATGACTGAAAACTTTCCTAACCTGATGAAGGAAATAGACGTACAAGTCCAGGAAGTGTAGAGAGTCCCAAACAAGATGAACCGAAACAGGCCCACACTAAAACACATTATAATTCAAATGACAAAGTTTAAAGACAAACAGAGCATCCTAAAAGCAGCAAGAGAAAGGCAATAGGTAATTTATAAGGTAGTAAAATCTAAAGGTATTTTCCACTACTACACTGGTACTACAAAGAATTTTAGAGGGACTTCTTTAAGAAAGAAAAAAAATCAAAATTATGAATAACAAAATGGCAATAGCTACATATGTATTAATAGTTACTTTCAATGTAAATGGAGTAAATGCTCCAGTCAAAAGACACCGGAGAGCTGAATACACAAGAAAACAGAATCCTCACATACGCTGTCTACAAGAGACTCACTTCAGATTGAAAGACACACACAGGCATAAAGGGATGGAAAAACTTGTTTTATGAAAATAGAAACAAAGAAACAAAAAATAAATAAATAAATAAAGCTGAAGTAGCAATACTTATACCAAACAAAATAAGACTTAATACAAAGGCTATAACAAGAGACAAAGAAGGGTGCAGTAATCCCACTTCTGGGTATTTGTCCAAAGAAACCCAGACACTACTTTAAGGGGACATGTGCATCCATATGTTCATTGAGGCATTGTTAAAAATGGCCATGATGAGGGCCGGCCGAGTGGCGCGATGGTTAAGAACTCCCTTGGGATGCCAGAGGGCCCCGGTTCGGATCCCACATATGAGGGCCAGTGACACTGCCCTCTACAGCTAAGATGCTGAACAACAGCTCAACCTGGAGCTGGGCTGCCATGAGTCGCCGGCGACGGTGTAGGCTGCACTCCCTGTGGCAGTGGGTTGCCATGGGCTACCGTGTGTAGCCAGCAGCCAGCGTGAGCGGCCAGCAGCCGCAGTGAGCGGCCGTCCAGAAGCTGGCGACTGATCTGCCTCGCCCGGGAAGAGCGCAATGATGGTGCCAACTTGGGCCAGTGAAGCAATGTCCTCCACAACTAGACTGAAGAACAAAACGACAGCAACTTGTCTGTTCCCCTTCCCCCAATTCCCCAGCACTGTTCCCATCCCCTCAATTCCCCAATAAAAATCTTTAAAAAAAAAAAATGGCCATGATGAGGAAGCAACCTGGGTGTCCATCAATAGATGAATGGATGAAGAGGAGGTGGTGCATATATACAATGGAATATTGCTCGGCCGGGAAAGGGGAAGGGTTCTTGCCATCTTTGGCAGAATGAGTAGACCTGGAAGGTATTTTGCTGAGTGG